GGTTTTAGCCATGTCACGGACATTGACACTGTTCCTGACTGAACCTGTGTCGAACCTGTTGAACCCGAGTTAGATCCAGCTCTCAAAGCCTTGGATTGGCTTGGAGAGAGAAAAACTTGGTTGACGGAAGGGAAGCAACCAAAAAAACCGGTTGGCAGACAAGTGGATTTGGACTCCAAGCACTGACCACAAGAAGCAAACATGTAAGTTGTTTCCTAACAACCATGAAAAAGCCCATTTAAACAACGCGCTTTGAACAAGGGAGCCTGAAAAGGCGAGTAACACGACAAAGTGCCCTCTGATGAGTTGATGGCAACACGTTTTGGGAGAAGAGTTGATGGCGACAGAGCGGTGTTTATTGCTGTGAGCGGGGAACCCGCCGGGGAAAAGGGTGCAACATGGTGCCACTGTCACCGGCTCAAAATTGCTATTTCAGTGGTAGTCTCAAGATAAAAGGCCCACTTGACTATGATAACCCGAAGAAGCCGTCGAACACAAGCCGCTGGTGGTGGGGGGCCCAAGATCGGAAACCGTGTGCGGCCGTCCGAGTGAGCCACACCGATGTCTGATGTCAGCTTATGCTTAGACTCCTTGTTCAATGGGGTATCCTTTCAAGTCAATTGTCAAAATGACCCGAAACGGTGGTGACAAGGAAATCCCACTCGAAGTAAACTTGAAAACACCCACCCCAAAATCACTCTCTGACTGTTCAGCTGACCCATATGCTATCATCAATCAGCCCCTGGTTGCTGATAGCTGGAAGAAGAACAAATGACTTCACCTTGGAACGTGTGCTCGCAAGTACTCCTGCTTACGGGATCAACTGGGACTGAGAGGCCGTCCATCCGGAATGTTGGAATCTACCAGGTCCCCTGCCCCAAAAACTCTTTAGCGAGAACATGCGAGAACGAAACCCGCACATCACACTATGTACACACTGGCTATGTTGTGGTTGCACCACGTTTTTCTTGAGGGTGGGAGTTGGGGGTGGTTGGGGGCAGGACCCATGGACAGGTACCCAGCTGTCCTTCCTCAGTTTTTCCAGGGACCCTCCTTTGCAGAGAATGGCTAAGACACGCAGGACATGCGTGGTTCAAACGAAAAAACGAGAGCGAGAACGGAAAATCCACCACCCCTTAGGTAGAATCCGTCCTACGCCAGCAGCTGCCATCTGGATGCAATTCCTCGGCGCGATTTGAAAATTGCTTCGGAATGTCACTCGATTGGGGACTCCCCCAACACCCTGTCCGAAGAAGGACAACGAGGTGTGCTTGCGGGTGGGAGGACGCTAAATGATGGACAACTAAAACATGAATATCTTGCCCATGCTCCTCGTGGACTGCAAATACTTTTGCGAAATCATGCGATTAAGAAGCGAGCAGTGATCTTCATGTTTGGGTCTTTGCAAGTGAATTCACCTGTGAAGCCAACTAAGAAACAACATTGAAACGTAATTTGTTCCCAACTGGAGCTGGACCAAGTTAGTACTTCTGGCCGGCTGCCCCTTCAATATTTCTTAAAAAAAAAAGCCGCAAAACATATTGGGTGCATAAAGGACAGATAATCATGTGACCCTTTTCAGCCCCCCCCCCCCCCAAAAAAAAAAAAGGTGGCTTATTTTCTGGGCAACGGAATCTTGCGTAACTGTGGCCCAAACAGCATCGCGTTCAGGTATGCGTCTCGGAAGTTCGTATGAAAACTGCCTTGGTATATAAGCTGTGAAAGCATCATGTGGCTCAATAACACCCAAACCTGCCAGCCTTTGGGTCCTCGATGCTTTAAGCCAAAGCCACATGTCAGGCGCCCTACTTGAGTCATAATCAAAACCCGGTATTAAATGGACTACCCAGAGCCATGTAAAGACTTAAGAAGGCGGATATCCGCAGCAAATGGCAAGGCGATTGTCCCTAACCTTCATCTACCCGGGTTTTAATTGTGGCTCACTTAAGTTCAAATCCAAACTTGCGGAAGCCTCTCGTGGCACTAGTTTGGTTCGTCGTGAAGAGGAAGCTCGCACTTTCAGAGAATAGCATTTTCCCGAAGCCAACCAACTTGTATTTACTTGTCGCTTGGAGCATCCAGCCAGTGTCCAACCGGGACACGATTTTGGGGTACCGAAACCCTCACGGCACCTAGCCTCAGAAGTCTGGCTTTCTGTTTCAGAAACGGCTAAGTACCCTGCACCACTGGTGCGAAGGCTTAAGGGGGCCGCAGTACCTGTCCGGAAGTTTGTTCTTGCCTGAAACTTCACCCAACAACCTAGCAGTGGCACCGAAAATCGGAAGCCTCTTGTTACTTTTGTGGCTCGAACAAACCCAAGGTGTGCCAGATTCGGGGGAGACCTTTTTGCTTTCCGTGATGTTGGGAGGCTTAAAGCAAAATCGTACCCGCCCCCCTTTACACAAGTGCTCTACGGCTCTACGCGTATTTTGTCCATGGCTCATGTTTACCCAAGTAGTGTGGTCAAAACTGTTCAAAGAGACGTGGTCAAAAGGAAGAGGCTTCGAGGCGGTGCCCTTTCTGCCTTAGAAGACGATTGCCTGCGCTTAACATATTTGGGACCTGGTCCCCAGTTTAGTCGGGGGGTTCAACTGCGCGCTTTGATGCGCTTTGAGGTCGTTTCCCGCACCTCCAAACTACCCCAAGAAGAACTAAGTACAAAGTCTACAACTCCCAGATATATCTTGGTGGGGGGGTGGGTTGGGGTAGAGGAAACCGCCCTAAATGTTGAAACCCCTAGGAGCACACCGACAACCCACTTTCCAGCATCCCGCTTGGCCCCGCTGTTCTTTCCGCGCTTGCTTGGCACTGCGGTGGAAGTCAAGTCATGCTCCAAATCACGAAGGATTAGCATCTACGAAAGGGTTGGGCCAACCCCTGAACGCATGCTCACACCATTTCGACAAAACCTCCCTTTGATTTCCCCTGCCATGAAAAGAACGAGAGTGCTACAGTTTGCCGAACCCTCATCTATTCAGCGAAGGGCCACTAACAGCAATGCGGCTTTGGCTCACAAATCAAAGGCACACCTTTGGCTTCACCCAGTGGTTCAAAGCTCACAAGGTTCAACTTGTCTCGGTTGCTTTCTGCTCCCCTGCTAAAAGTTTAACTTTTAGTGGTTTCATGGAAAACCCATGAGTTGGCAAAAAGTTAAAGTCCTAACATACAAGCAAAATGCACCAAAGTTGTGCCCGGTGTACATTCAAACGTTTGAAGCTCTGGTATTCGGTTTCGTCAGTTCACCTGAGAAGGCACAAGCCTTAAGCCTTCGATGTGCTCTAAGCGTCCATTGTGAGCCAACGCCTTCGTGCGACTTTGCGCCAGTGGGATTTCTGCCAGTCGGACCCAGTCTACCGGTTTAGTGGTGGGACCAGGGCTCCCCTTGGCCATTGGCAGTAGGCACCCAGGGGAACAAATAGGAATGTAGTTGCTGGAGGGAATAAGCCGTTCCAAAAAACGCATCCAAAAGCGCTTACGTGCCCAAGGATGCAAGGAAGCAAGGGCAAAAAGGCACACACCGGATTTCCTATGGAACCTTCCTCATGGGCCGCAAGCAACCCGTTGAGTTCGCTAAGAAACAGCTCAAATAGCTGGGCTCTCTGATTCTTTGAGACGGCCAAGCGGGCCCAGTAAAGGCGTTTGACTGCGCCCGTGCTGCCTTGAGCAAACCCAGCTGAGTAATCGCCAATGTACCTATCCGACAAGCCGCCGGCTGCATGTTGAAACCGTGTTGGTTTCCCTCAAGGCGTTGCTCAACCAACTGCTTGCCGCTCAGCAAATGCTTTGTTAAGAGGAGTGCTTTAAACGGCTGAGCCTTCACAGGTGCTTTGCCAGGTCCATGTGGCAGTGCAAAACGAGGTCACATCTGTTCGGTAGTTGTGTTTTTCCTTGTCCAGTGTTCCGGGAATTATAGAGTACTTTGTGGGTTTTTGCTAGTTAGCTTGTTTTCTGGTTGATTTCAAAGGGACGCCGTCCAAAATCAAGCATAAAAGGACCACTGAAGGTCGGGGAAGGCCTTTGGAAACCTTTCCATGCGGAGATTTGGATCAAGGAAACAGATTAAAGCTACTAATAAAAGGTCACCACAAAAAAAAACCTCGAACGATATTCAACAGACTGTTCCATGCACATTACATGTTTACCAGCCATAGTCAAACAAAACAGGACTGGAGTTTGGCCTGAAGCAGTGCACACGTGAACTATTTCACGTTTTTCCCCGCTCTTATTTGGCTGTGGGTCAAAACAGGTACCCTAAAAACCTATGGTCCCTGGTGGTTTATGCTTGACCCATACCCAGTTAGACATGTTCCCAACGGTCGAAGACTGCAGCTTTGCAGGCAGCTGGTGCAACCGTTGAGGGAAAATTGATTCGACGTCAAAATGTTTGCATCCGATGCAACGTCGGCTGGAGCATTTGGATGTCGCTGGTTCATCACAAGATATCACAAGCACCAAAATGGGCTAATACTGTATCTCATGTTTTTCGGATCTGTTGGGAAGGCTGCTTGTGGCGAAGGTGAATGTTTGCCCGCCCTAGGCCTTGCGAACACTCAATAACCTGCCTCGCCGGGGCATTCCTTGGCAATGGTTTTTCAAAGAGCAAGTGGCTGTGGCTCAAATAAATGTACAAAATGGCCCCCTTGGTGCATGGAACCAAAGACTAACACCTGAGTAACCCAACAAATCCGGAAATACACAATGCAAAGGCAAAGGCCTAAGAGGACAAACAGAGGGTACCCCGCTTTTCATGGTTTTAAAGGGAAACCAACAGGGAAACCACCATTTTGGGGGTCCCCGAAAAGAAGGCACCTCCACAGGGTGGAAAGAAACCCTGCAGATTACCATGCGGTGCTTTGCCTGGCCAGATCCAGCCCCGACACGGGCAACCATGGAAAGCCATCTTGCACATACTACAGGGGAAAAACATACTACCCTAATGGTTTAGACCGATTCTTGTCCTGAACATGCCCTGGCATTGCCAATGAATTCTCAAACGCCTTTGCCCCAAGTCGAACCTGGAAATTCGGACACTCCATCCAAATCGTCCAACGCGTCGGGGAGCTAGGGCCACTCAGAGAACAGCTACCTGCCATGGCAAAACTGAGCGCATGCTTGCTTGCAGGCAGCTGATGCTTGCCCCGCCGAAATGCCCTTTGTTCTGCACAAAAGGCAAGAAACATAGATGTCCTTTAGGGCAAGTAGATGGCCCTGGTAGATGATTAAACCACCAGGTAAACCAGGGAAACCCATCTATGTTTTCCACCAAAACAACCAAACAGGACACCTATGACAAGAAACGGGACGAGGAGCGGTGGCTTGGGCTCCTATTAGCAAATTGCCTCTGCCAGCCACTGAGTCACTGGGTTCCTAAAGAAAGCCCCTGATTGATCATGAATTTGGGGCACTCGAAAGCAAGAAGCTCATCGCCCGCTGATTCATCTGGACAACTGGCTTAAATGATTAATGCTTACGTAAGGGACCTTGATTCATCAGGGTGAACTTCTTTTTGCTGTTCACCCCAGGTCGCGAGAATCTGCCCAGTCCCATTTATTCGCAATGCCAAGTTGAAAACTGCATCCCACATTACCGAGAGCTACGCAGGGCTCCGAGTGACAGCCCGAGAAAGCACCTGCTGATGTGTATGCAATAGAAAATACCTAGGGCAAAAGGGGCCTAACCACCTAAGGTGAAAGAGTGCATGGCAAACTAAAACACTCTTGTTGAACTCCCTAAAAGCCAGGTGATTTGAAGTGGCACCATGCTGCTGCGGGGGAAGCCATGACCCCCGTAAGACCAGTATCGAGAGAGACCGCTGCTCTCATCTGTCGCTTGCCCCCCCGCCTCTAGAATGGCCTGAGACTCACGTGCCATGAGCAAGTGGGAAGGTGAAACCAACCATCCACAAATCTGCTGGCGTCTGGCAAAAGGGTTGAATACGTTTCTTTCCAGAAGGCTTGGTTGCTGTTGACTCCCCTGCAAAAAGTTTAACTTTCTGGGGGTTTAGTGGAAAACTAACTTGATTTCCCAAAAAATAAAGTCCAAAGATCCGACCCAATAGCAATCAAGAAGGGAGACGTATGGTCAGGGCCCCCTGAGGGTTCGGCCCCCTGTGCCTACTCCTCTGGGGGGGATCTTTGAACATGCCGAGCTTTGCCTCAGCGCGGTCTATTGACTTTTTCCTACTCCATTGGACGAACTCACCCTTTGCAAACTTGCATACTTGTCCAAAAGGCAAAAATATTTCAAACTCAAACAGCCACGCTCCCCCAGAAGGATAGAACCAAAGAGCAAAGCCCCAACAGGAAACCGGCCAAAAAGCGCAAAGTCCGTTTGATCAGCCCGCTTAAACGGGGATCCTTACATTGTACACCTGAACATTGCAACTTGTAAATGGAGGTGTCCAACTTTATTTTGGTGTTGAAAAAGCCACATGTTTCAAATGGTTGCAAAATGTATCGATCATTTTTTAGGAGCCCTGTGGAGTCTTGGATGCTTCTCAATGCTGAATGGGATGCAACTCTTTTCAGCAAACGAATTTTTGTGAGCAACTGAGATACAAACAGGTGTGTGCTTCTGGTTAAGGAGCCCCCCGCCCAAAAAAAACGAAACAAAAGTGATGGTGTTCTCTTTAATTTTCCGGAAATCAAAAAAGGGTACCCTCGAAACGACAGCCAAAACATGTCTACCGCCCCAAAGAAACGCTGAGAGGAAAACTGGAGCCTAGCTCGCTCTCTGCCTGGTCAAAGGCTGGAAAATCGCGCCAGGACCATTTCAGGGGCCTTTTGCGTTTTGGAGGGCCAAGGGCTTCCCTGCTGGTGAAAACCCTGGTGAGCCGTGCCGACTCGCAAAGGCTAAATGGGGCTCCCGGGACTTCAGGTCGATGGTTGTTTTTCCCGCAGAGTTTGCAGATCCGACGCAAGCTCCGCGCGAGGGACGGAAATGGAGGTTAGAATAAGTTGGTACCATTTGTGTTTCTCTTTTGTCGACTTTTGTCGGGGAACCCTAAACAAGGGTGAGACAGGTTGCACCAATCGCTGGGGGAAACCTAGGGAAGGGACCTGACAAGGTTAGTGTCCGCTACATTGACTTGTCTCCAAAGTGGAGACCCCAAAGATGTCATGGTTTCCACTGAAGCAGAACGCACGCCTGTGCTGAACAAAAAATACGCCCCCCATATCCCTGTTGATTGGCCCCATGGTTTTATAACAGTATCAAAGCCGCCCCTCACGCGAACAAAAAAAAACGGCCCTCCTTGCTCGCCCGGCCGCGTCCCCATTTTTGTGAGAATCTCGTCCTGCTTGGCCAGCACTGCCTGGCTTTCGCCCACTCCCCAGAGGCTTTGAGCAGGGAGTCGCAATTCGTTCTGGGGGTGACCATTTCAAGAGGGGGAACTCACCAAATGGCTACCAACTAGAAGGGACCCCTATGGTTGACCCCGGACCATATCCACCAAGCAGTTGAGTGATCCTGGGTTTCAATCCGCTCCAGGCCTCAGAGCGGAAACCCTGGCGGTGAAGCTTGGGTGAGTAGAAACCGCTGGAAGCTGAAGACGGATGCATTCAGCTCACTCGCCATGTGAAAAGGCCGCCTTGTTTCTTCACCTTCAAGGGGCCAGTACGGGACCGTGGATATTTGCTTGGACTTTTTCATCAGGGCACAAAGGCTGGCCCAGGAATCCCGAAATGCCCCTTGCCTTGCCAAGAAGAACTCCAAAGAGATCCATAGGGTGGTTCTAGTGCTGGCCTCAGATTTATCATCATTCTGGTCGATTGTTTGGGAGTGCTTCCGCAAAAAGATGCAAAAAGGATACCTCCCAGGAAACTGCAAGGTTGTCTCAGTTCCCTCGTTTCGGCACTCCAGGCAGAAGTCCCGACGTGTTGTTGGATGAGAGGCGTGGAACATGCTGTAAGCATCTTCAACTATAAATCAAGTGTCTTTCCAAGGGGCAAGGCTAAAGGTGCTCTAAACGGGGCGTGTTTGAAATTTCAGAGTGGTGTCCTTTAGGGAAACTTAACCAAGAATAGGATCCGTTGCTTTCTGCTTGGCTTCTACAGGAACACGTGGTGCATGTCAAGAGTCTGAATGTGGCTTGCCCTTGGTGGACATTGAGAACAGTCCCTTCCCGCCATGCGGTTCACATTCACATTGCACAAATCGAATACTTCCTTCACGGGATGCTGAACCTTCGCAGTACCACCTCAGCTTTCCCCGCCACCACAAAACAACATGCTTGATTCTGCGCCATGACCGCAAAAATAGCTCTACGCAAACTCCAACTTAGGGGCGCTTGAAACATTGCGGTCTTGGGGGGAAGGCTTACAACTCGCGGGAAGCCGCGGACATGGGAAACCATCGTGAAAGCCGTGCGGCTCCCGAGGGTTCATATGGAATCAGTTGGCTGGAAAAAACGGCTGGAACAAAGACGGAGATGTGCAGAACATGCAAAACCAAGGTCCTCCAGTAGAGAGCTTAGAATAAGGGTACCCATTTTTTCTATAGTCTATTTAGTAGGGGGGGTTCCTCCCAACCAAAAAACAGAAGAAAATGACAGGGCACCTAGCTGGGGGACCTAGTTAAACCAGGAATTCTCGCGACCTCTGTTTGAGACAATGTGTGTCCGTTGGCTTGAAAGGCACCATGGAGGCTAGCTGGGGAAGCTAGAAACCAAGCCTTCAAGTGATCCAAATGGCCACCCATCGCCTTCAACTCAGTGGCCAGGTGCTGCAAGGCACCATCCTGCGCGAATTTGCTGTGAGGACGCCCGGCCCGGCAGGTCGTTGTCAAAGCCCTTAACTCAGTTGCTTTCTGCTCCCCTGCTAAAAGTTTAACTTGTAGTGGTTTAATGGAAAACCCATGAGTTGGCAAAACAAGTTAAAGTCCTAACATCCAAGCAAAATGCACCAAAGTTAAGGCCGTATTTTCGCATGTCTCCACCAAAATGGTGGGCTTCCCTGTTATTTTTCCTTTAGTCCCAAAAAAAACATGGAAACACCAAACTGGTGGGCTTCCCTGTCATTTTTACCATTTTGAAACAGACCAAACAGGGATCCCGTTTTGACACGTCCATTGAGCAAGGGCAGGGGAGGGCTGGGACGTAAAGGGGCGACTCTGGAGCAACCCTCCCCCCCACCCCTTATCGAAGGGGTATGCCCCAAATTGGAAATTGTTTATAGGCAAACCCGTCAACAAAATATTCCTTGTCCACTTCATTCTTGAACAAATGGTATCACGTTCTATCACTTGAGCAACGTCCAGAGCGCAAGCATGTTCGCATTGATCAAGAAACTGAACTGGCCAGCTTATCCACTTGTTGGATGGCCGTCACGCTTCGGAGCGATTTTTGGGAGCTTGGCCAGTTGGTTTTGAAATGATCCGGGGTCTCGGTACCTACCTCAGGCCTTAGCCAGTGAATCCCACCCCTGGATTGTGAGATAGCTCTGTGCGGCTCATAACACAAAAGGTGTTCGCAATGGGAATGGCAAGGGGGGGAGAGTTGTAGACAAATCCATCACGCCCCTTTCCTTGTTTGCCATGTTGCTTTCATATGATCTTCTCATTCAATTAAAAGGTGAAAGGCTTCAGATTCAACCAATTGGCAGCCAAGTATAGGCAAATCAATAAGTCATCATGTACTTAACAAGGAACTGTCTGATTCCCAAAGGGAGGCTCCTCTCAAGATGGAAGCAAGTTCAGTCTGGATGTCCCTCAATGTTGACGCAAAAATCCTGTGCCACCTAAATGGGAGTGGGTTAATCCTGAGTGGATTAGCACAAAGAAGAACCCAACTCGTTGTTTGCCACTAAAACTGTCCAAGCCCAGAAAGTGATTAAAGTCCGAAACGGAACACTGGAATTGAGAGAATGAGTGGTTTTTGGGGGTTCCTTCCGTTAATCTGTAGGGAGCAAGTCGACCGCTTCACGTTTGATGATGGAATCCTACAGACAGTGTGGTCCCAGGGGGGGGGGGCCTTCCCCTCAGGAATATTGTGGCATTTTACGGAACCCTTGGGGCAAAATATTTCAGGCATTCCAACATTTGAGCACGCGCGGCTGTCGGCTTTGTTTCTACTCCGCGAGCCGGGATGGGAGGCCATGAGCCTCAGGATTCTGCGAATCGCACCTGCGCAGCACCGATCTCCGAGCTCCGGCGCTTTGGGTACGGTGCGACAAAGGCATACCTCCATGATGCTTAAGTGCACTGGGAACAACAAACAACAACACACCACCTAGTAGTGATAGATTCCCTTTAAAGCCAACAGGGGAAAGTAAAACATACTCTTAAGCAGCAATCCTCCTCATTCTGCCCAGTTTCCCCTCAAAAGATCAAGTGAGCTGAAGGAATCTTTGGATGTTTCCGCTCACCTCCGTGTGACTCGTCTCTTTTAGCTCAAAAGGAAAGCAACAGTGCCTTCACACAGTGGGTGTTAAATAGGAGGTCCATAGTGGTCCATAAAACAAGGTTTCCGTTTGGGCATTAACAAAAAAACACAAGGCTATCTGGCACCCAGTGTGGGGAGAAAACCACCCTTTGTATAGCTGATTTGAAAGGAGAGCCCTCCAGAGAAAGGACCCCTCCCCTCCCCAGCCCCCCAGAAAAACAAAAATATCCAACAGGAACCCCCCACCAAAAAAAACAAAAAAAAGGACTCCCCCCCCAAAAAACAAAACAAAACAAAAACAAAAACAAAGCAAAAAAAAACGAGGCAACGGGGGTGAACAACATCAAAGGCACATGGCCGGCCACGCGCATTCGCAGGCCGATTCGGATCTCGACCGTGCCCGGCGGAAGGTGAGGGACACCCGACGGCCACGGTGGACAGCGCTGGCTCCGTCGCTCCTTACTCGCAAAAGACATGGGTACTACATATGAGTCACCGAGTTGTTTTTGGAAGTTTAAATCTATATATATATATATGTGTTTCGTTTGTTCTTTTCTTGTAAGTTGATTTTTTGTTGGGGGGGGGGGACCTTTTGTGCGTTTTGGTTTGCTCTTTTGCTGTGAGTTGTTGCTTCTTCTTCTTTCTTTCTTTTTTTTTTTGGGGGGGGGGGGGGTTGTCTCATTTTTTTGTCTTTTGGGTTCTTTTTGTTTTAATTGGCTCGTTTGTTCTTTTGTTGTGGGGGTTTGTTTGGTCTTTTTTTTTGCCGGGGCGGGGGGGGGGGGGGTTTGTAGCTTCTTTCTTTGTTGGTTTTTTGGGTGGGGCGGGGTTCTTGTCCGCAGGGCCTGGCACCAAAAGGTCCACAACTTCTGGATCTCTTGCTTCGCTGGGGGTTGGAACTGAGCTTGCCGTCAACCAACTATTTACGAGATTTACCTTGCAACCGTTTCAGGCAAAATCGAGGGACGGGTTTAGGGTTTAAGATTTTGGGTTTCCGCACTCATAGCAAAACCCCTGCTTTAAAGCAAGTGTCCACTCCAACCTCTACCACCAAGAGAAAGCGGAATGTATGCGCATTTCAATTGTGTGTAGATACAGATACATATACACCGTTTAATTGTACACGGGACTTAGTTGGATGCCAAAAAGAGGCCTGGAGAAGCGTTGACCATCAAACAATACAAGCCCTCAAGGAAAACCATCTACTTCACTAGTATTGCAACCCGGAAACTTCCATTCGCTTAAGCCATCATAAACAAACCAACTAAACTATTTCCACTAGTGATAGATTCATATTACAACCAGGGAGCAACAAAAACAATATACATATATCTATATATGTATATACACACATACAGTCTATATGTATATATATACTCATTCAGAAAGTGGAAGGAAGTAATAAATCCCCCAAAGTAAGGGACTTTCATCATGGGCAGGCTCCGAGAAAAAAAGAAGAAAAACAACTAGGTCCTCCAGTACCTTTTTGGTTGTTTGTTGTTGTTTGTCCCCCAGTTGTAGTCCCCCGGCTTCCTTTTCTTATTTATTGTTTGTCTAGGTCCCCCAGCTAGGTGCCCTTTCTCACCCCTTGGGAGGGTTGCCCCTACTAACCCCTTTTTTGGTTGGGAGGGTTACTCCTACTAAATAGACTACAGAAAAAGGGTACCCTTATTCTCACCTCTCTAAAAGGGCACTACTCGAAAAAAAAGAAGAAAAACAAACAACAAACAAGCAAAGGAAACAACATCCGCCGAAAAACATGTGCGCAAGGCTCAGAAGGTCTGTCTTGCGCCAAGCGATGCCGTGCTGCCACGCGTAGCGTGCTTCCCCCGTCATCACCAGCCTGCGGTAACAAAAACAAAAAAACAGCTGGGATTGTCTTTTTGTTGAGGCTTGGTACCTCTTTGCTTGTTGGTTTGGACGGAAAACCAACAGGAACAAACACTTCTCTATTTACCGTTTGGGTGGGGGGTGAAAAGACGCCTCCACATGGGCTCGGCTTGGCTTGGCTTGGTGAGGTTGGGTGGTTTCCCATTTACCTCAGCCCTCCAAACCAATCCAAGCCGCCAACTAAGGTTACCTGACGATAGGCAAGTCGGCAAACAGTCAAGAAGACCCACAACCATATTTAACCATCGAGTATTGTAGGGCTGAAACTTCTTAGGGCCTTTCGGGCTTTCTATAGAACCCGCTGATTTTGGCTCATGTTCATTGGTTAATCCCATGGTGTAGACTGTTCCTTAAAAGCTACTCGCGAACCATGCCAGGGAGAAAGACACGAGGACATTTAAAGTCTGGCCCTCAATGAGTTGGAGGATCAATTGCCATGATAAGCTGCCCCAAAAATCGTGATGCGGCCGTTGCCCTGATTCGTAAGGATCCAGTTTGCCTATGGACTCCCTTTTGGATGAAGTACAGTTGTGCACTTCAAGAGGGTCGCTACCCAGGCTGTCCAGTACGAAAGTTGGGGCTCCCTACCTCCAAAAGAAAGCAACCACTCCGAATTGCAAGGGTGCACTCACATGTATGATGCATATATACATGTATATGCAGTGTGTACAGGCATAGATATAGTGTATACATTTGTATTCATAGGTTCTTCCCACGAGGCGGGCAAACAAACAAACAAAATGGAACTGCGTGGACCCTTGCACATACACCTCGCCATGCAACGCACAATTAAAATGGGCACCCAGATATGTATGTGCATGTGTTTATGTGTGTGTTTGTTTTTGAGGCACGCCTTTTTTGGGTGGTCTTTTTCATCGGGAAACCAGCAGAAACACTCATGCTGTGGAACCAAACCCACCATTTTGACACCTGCCAGGGTGGACTCACTCAGCTTCCTCTTGCGTTGTGCTATGAAGAAGGGCAAGCTTACTTGCCCCTGAGGAACCTGGAAATAAACGGTGATCACCTTTTGGGACCTTTACTAAACATGAACCAAAGAGGAAAAACAAAAGGTCAAAAGGTCGGCTTTGAGCAAGTGAGCAAAACAACGTGTGTAACTTGTTCCTTCGCCAGGAACGTGCCCCCACGAAACCAATGGATCATTGGAAGCTCAATCAACATTCAAACAACGGCAAAGAAACAAACCAACAGAAACCGCCGGCCCCTAGGCAAAACTCAAACCCCTGCAACATGTTAACTAGTTAGCTGCTTAAATTGAAGAGTGACGCAAAACAAAGGCAACAGGTTAATTCACCTCCCATGAACCTGGAACCTGACAGGGGGGGCGTCCTGGAAGGCCTTTTCCTTAGGGACCCATGCTAGGTCCTCCAGTCGAGAGGTTAGAATAAGGGTACCAACTTTTTCTGTAGTTTATTTTCGTAGGGGAACCCTCCCCATCCTCCCCAAAAAA